GGTCTGCTGTAGAAGCGAGACTTGTCTTTAGCTTCTAGGGGTTGCAGGATTTGGTTATCTGGTTAGGGCGTAGACCAAGCTTAGGTTGGGGATTCGAGGGTACGCCAAAGCGGTGTTTGGGTTCAGAGTTCAGCTGATTCAAGATTGAAGCCCGAAGTTTATGGTTTGGGGTTTTGGGGTTCACGGTGTAAACCCTAAGACTTAAAGTATAAACAAGCCCGCAAGTAAAAGTGCCGGGTGGGTTGTGGAAGGTGCCAATTGAGAGAAAAAAGGGTGCTGAGTCTGCGCAAGAGCGGAGAAGTCGCCAGGCAACCCACGCCTGCATGAGCCACCGGGGTGCGTCAGACGCAGAGCTGGGCATTGCGCAAGAACACATCGCAGCGGAGCGGGTGACCGGGTGTGTGCTTTGAGGTCGGTGCCGTCGAGCACACGAACGATTGCACTGCGGGGACCACAGAAGGCCGGCTCTTGACTTACAGATTCGTGACTTCGGCAAAGATGGCCTGCAGGACGATCCCGCCCTAAAAGAGCAGCTGCTCCTTGGTGTTGGCTGGGGGCTCGGAGTCGTTTGCGAAGCACTCGGTACTACACTGTGGGTCATCTGAGGCCGTGGTGGAGCGGTGGCCGCCAGACTGTGAGCTAGAGGCTGAGCATGGAAGTGGCTTTGTTCGTGCAGTGAGCTGCATGCTGTTGCACTACGCTGCATTGCCCTCACACTTGAAAGTTGCATAATCTTATCCGTTTTACTTGACACTCACACACTTGACACACTTGGCCACTTGGCGCACTTGGCACAATTGATTTAGGGTTTACGGATTTATGGGTTTACGGGTTTAGGGTTTAGGGCTTAGGTTTAGAGTTTCGGTTTAGGGCTCAAGTGGCACAAGTGGCCCAAGTCTGTCAAGTGTGTCAAGTGTCAAGCGGGTTGGGTAAAAAACGCAGTGGCATGCTCAAACCAGGGTCAAGCCCGTCGAACGGCAGACCGGTTGAAGCCAGTTAGCGGTTCCCGATTCCTCGCGCACTGCTATGTTGTACTCCGGACCGGAGCTTGCGAACCAGCCAACGACATACCATAACAACTGTCAAGGTTTGAGTGTCGGAGTAAGTGCGTCCTCTGCGTTCCCTGCAGGTAAATGTCCGCCGACTCGGAGGATAATCTGTGAAATATCGTGTAGAGTGTAGGCACACGAATACCTGACGGCTGTGGAAGCCTCTCATGCACAGGTGCAGCAGTGTCAAACGCACTGTTGTGAATGTGATTTTCCTTGCATGTGCATTTTTATGCTGTCAAGGAAAAGTTAGTTGGTGAAGTCGACTGCGAAGTAGCTATGAGGTACAAGCTCTGCTCCACTTCGTAATTTGAAGGTAATGCAGTTCCAGAGACTAGCATGATTTAGCCGCAGTTGGCGATCCCTCTAATTTTTGCTATGCATTGGCCTGAACAAGAGGCTCGTGTCAAGTGTTTCGGCCTCCTGCGCATCCGAAACAATAAGCAAAAGCCATAACATCCAAGCTGCGCAGGTCGCCTCGAGAACCTAGGAGGGGTGTCTGACGTGTGACGTCACCCGTAGTTGACCTCAGGCGACCTGAGAGAAGTCCGCAAACCAAAGCTTTTCTATTTCTTGCGTTGGCCAGAACTGAAACATTGAGCATGCTGGCAAGCTGGGGAGTGAATGTGGTGCTGTGTGCCAGTGAGCCAAATCCAGCATCAACCCAAGACATGCTGGGCAAGTGAAGACTGTCAACCTGGTTGTATCCCTTTCTGTTAGGTGCTCATGTTGAACTCGGTTGCAATAGTTTCCGAGATTTAGCTTTGATCTCAGCCAAGACATGTGCAAGCGCCTGGTTGGGCACAGCCTGACATGATGTACTGTGATTACTTATCTTTGCGATCTTGCTGCCTTCTTGCTAGATGCAACGCCTGCAGCGCATGTTGCTGCCGCGGAGCGGATGTGTTTCGAATCCACGTTTGCATCGAATGCGTGCCATAGAATCATCGAAGCTGCGTGTTGGCTGACTGGTTGTTGTCGCTTGCAGGAGCTGGTCATGGACGGCCACGTTTCACTTCGCGCTGGTTGTGTTTCTTGCAGCTGGCTTGGCTGCGGGGGAGCAGGTGACCGTCGATGGACCAGTGATCGGCATCGTTGCCGCAAGAGAAGTGTTGTCCACCCTGAGGATTCATCCATTGCATGCAGAAGCTAGCTGTGTCCTGGAGTCGTGGTTGCCAGGGCAAGTCTACAGCTCACATCACTGCACCGGCGGGATTTTTCGCAATTTAACATGCCACGGAAACATGGGGCCCGACAAGCACACACAGCGTTTGAAAAGGAAGCAGTCCAAGCCGAGGCTTCTCAGAATTGCAGCGGTTGCTAGGGGACGGCTTGCTTTTCCGCGTGGCATGGTAAGGAATTGACCTTGGCACCACGTACTCTTGTGCAGCGGTTTTCAAGCGGCCTTGATGCAGTGGCTGAAGACCGAGCATAAGGGACTGCAAGTCGATACAGCCGAGGAGTGGTGCAGTCGAGATAATACCAAGCAGTGAAGGCAACGTTTCACAGTCTGTCACTGCCCTTTCCATATGTTCTCTTCCCGTTTCTTGCAGGCAGCAGGATTATGCCCTCTTCAGTGGCGTTCACACCAGGAAAAGAGGCGGGCTGTATTTGATTTGCCATTTTCATGGGTATGCTCGCGGTCTCCCCTCACCTTCGAATGGGCCGCCGCTGCGAAAAACCCTTATGGACAGAGAGAGAGCGAGAGAGTACCCGATGCCCTCACCGAACGTGCCTGCACCTTAGTCGGTTGTACCTTGGTTTTTCGGGAGATCCGGCAGTGGAAGGCACGTCTCAGTCGCGCTAGCTGGTCACTGGAGGTGCGAACTCGACTCGACTTACCCTCAGAGAGCTGTCGTCAGTTGCTGAGTGTACGGTACTGCTGTTTTTGCCTCGGGGAGAGTCGAGTTCTCCGGCTCTGTATAGCCGAGCCCTCGGGGGCCGAGCCCCTCCAGGGAGTTTTCAAAACCCTGCCAGGACCCGCAGGTGCGCGTTCGCGTGCGAGGGTTCGGGCGTCCGCTCGTTCCCTCTGGCCTGGTAGAGAGAGAGAGAGAGAGAGAGCGAGCGAGAGCATGTGCACGCACGGGGGGAAGGGGGACCGCTCTTCTCCTCTGTCCTGGTAGAGAGAGAGAGAGAGAGAGAGATTTGACAGGGCCTCATGCCCAGGAGAGAGAGAGAGAGAGAGAGAGAGAGAGTAGGGGGGTGGAGAGGGGAGCGCCCCGGCGCGGGCCAGGCGTAGAACCCTGGCCTTGACCCCTAAGCAAAGCAAAGCAAAGAGTAGGGGGGTTCTCACAACAAGACTTAGACCAGGACGCATGCGTGCGCGGGGGAGGGCTGTCCGGTCCTTCTCTTGGCTGAGATGAAGAAGAGAGTAGGGGGCAACCCCTGCACCACAGCCTTGGCGAAAGAAAGACGCGGGTTGTATTCCCCCAACATGGGCACCCAGGCACAGGGCAGAAAACCGGGAGCGTTGTTTTTAAACAGGGTGCTGTCTGGGAGTTGAGGAGAGAGCCAGGAAAGCAGCAGTAGCAAAAACCCTAAGCCCTCGCGGCGAAGGTTTCAAGTTTTCCAGTTCCGTTTTCAGGGACACGTGGCGCGCCTGTAAGATAATCTGCGTGTGAATACAGCTTGCGCGACTCGCACAGTTCGGCCCGTTGACAAAGTTGTGCAGATGCAGAGGAGAGCCCGAGGATGCCTTGTGCCCTTCGTGGGAGCTCGGAGTTGTTCTTCGTTTGGTTGCTTCGAGACTTCGAGAGGCTCCACCTCTTTTTCCGACCACGTTTTCCTCTCGGTAAGATCTTTCCGACCTTCAGATTCCGAGAGGTAAGCTAGATGTAGGGAATTTATGGGTTCTGGACTGCGCGACGGGCTGGAGAGGTCGGTGGCCAACGCGGCTCAGATCACTTCTGTCCGAGCGAAGAGTCTGCATGCAGGTGCCTCTGATTGGCGAGTCTGCAAATCATCTTGCACTTTCATCCCCTGCCCAGACACTGTGCCTTGGACCAGTCAGGAGAAGGTCACGCTGAACCAAGACACGGCATAGCGATTTTGGTGATAATGCTGTGAAGCCATCTGAAGCTTGCCTTACTTCGCAAAGACTTGCTAACGAGCTCAGGTCCAATGTCAAGCGGTTGATTGGCCGCGACTACAAGGATCTGAGAGCCTACATCTTGCAGCTGTAGCATGTCACCTGCTGTCGATGCCGTCGGTGTTGGCGCATTGAGGACGCAGGCGTGCAGCGGGACAGTAAGATGATGCCATTCAAGGTGTACGCCTCGGCCTCTTACCGTACCGGTTGTTATATGATGCTCTTTGATACGCCGTTGGCCTCGCAGCTCTCCACAGGTTGTCGCCGACTCCGATGGCAGCGCTGCCATCAGCGTGGCTGTCGACGGCCAGGATTCTTGGTTTGAAAGTAGTTTGCTGTCTGTGTCGTCTGACCGGGATATGTTCTGACAGGGATCTTCAGCCTGGTTTTTCTGCCACCTGACCCCAGGCTAAAGTTCTGAGACCCGAAGAGATGCTTGGCTGCAGTTCCGGCGAGGCTTGCCCCTGACCCTAAACGGCGAATTGCATCAACTCAGGATCTCGGCCCTCCTGCTCAAAGAACTGATTCTGGTCTCAACAGATGCTTGAAACTTCTATGGGTTCATTCGAGCCGGTTAACTTCCGGTTGCTATGCAAGGACGGATCGTGCTCAGAAGTACTTGGGCAGAGAAGTCAAGCATGCTGCGCCAACCTAAGCGAGGGCAGGGCAATCTCGGCACGCATGTCATCTGCCTCATGTGTGACAACGGTCTTTAGCCTGTTTCTGCAGCAGCCTCCTGCTTGAGCCGGACAGCCAGCCGCAGACTCTGTTTGAGAGCCAGACAGAGTTTGATGAGTATGGTTTTGCGCAAATAGCATTCGCAGATCTGAACGGTCAAGTGCCATGGCTGCCGTCGACCAGCCTCGGAGCATTGCCATCATCGGCGCTGGAGTTGCCGGTATCCGGACTGCATTCCACAGCGAGTTTGTCACGCCTGGCTGGTGTTTCGGGTTCCACGGGGGCAGTCTTTGAGCCAGGCTTGCAAGCATTGCGAGCCCTGCAGCAAGTGCCACAAGTCCAGGCCCTGCACAAATTTGTTCCAAATGCAATCAAGTCTGTTTGGGCCGTTGCCCGCGATTACGGGATGGTTCCTGGGTGCCACCTTCAGCTTGATGCATATCGGACTTACATCCTGTGCGTATCCACACGGAAGTTTCGCGGAAGATGATGTTCAAGCTCGTGGATAAAGGTCTCCAGGGGGTGTCTAAGGGGGTGAAATCTTGACCTCGTACTGCAAACCTCCTTTCGATCATGATTTTGTCGATCTGTCGGTGGCCTATCAATGAACACCAACAACCTGCTGACATCTGCAGAATCTGCAGGGCAGAAAACATGGACGCAACACCTTGCTTGGCTTTGTCATGTTTCCTTGGGACTGCATGCATGATGAATTCCGCCTTGATGTTGTCTTCGAACTCTTGCCTCCCAATTTCTTGTTGTGCATGTGCTTGATACTCGCAGCCTTGGTTGACCTCGGACACGAAACATGCTCAGGCTCAAG